CACTATACAACAATCACAGCACACTTGCAAGAGGAAATGAGAGGAAGTCTTAAGTTCGTATATATATTTATGGATTGTGCTGAAGTAGACAAGAGGGTATAGAGAAACATGGTTCTCAGTCACGTTTGCTTAACTCTGGGTTGGCAAGGGATTACTGTATATACTGTAATCATTCAAAATCAATAGTCTAAGTAGTGAAAGAATCCTGCAGGACTCCTCAGTAAAGGGATCACTAGAAGAGACTCTGCTGGACAATTTGCTGTTTGCCATCAACACCCAGAGGTGTGCTCATCAAGGGGATCAAAAGCATCATGCACAGAAGAGACAGTGCTAGACACCATAATTAACATCCATCAGGGAAAAAAGGAAATGGATCCTTTTCAAAGCTGTGCAATAGTGCTGCCAGCAGCTCCCAGGTGTACAATAAAAACTACAGAAGGGTATGGTCCATGAAGGATATACCTACACACAGATAACGAGACTGTAAAAATGCTCCAGACTGATAACTACGACTGCCACCAGGATGGACTGGTTTCCGCGTGACCGGCGAGGCCCATGCGTGTGGGTCACGAGTATCTGCTCTTCCCGCTGCAGAGACAGGCCTCGGCGCTCAGGAGGCCCAGGAGGCCTGGCGGAACAAAGCGCAGCCTGGGCCCTCCAGCCGAGCCGATACGCCACTAAGTGCTGCCTGAGCTGTCGGACACAGCCAGCTGCCAGGCTAGCCGTGTGCGGCTGCCTGCTGCAGGCGGCCAGATAAACCGGGAACAAAGGCGCCCCGCTGAACGGCCCCGCTGTTCGCCATTAACCCCCGCCGCCGCCGCATTATCTCCTCGGGGCCGAGCGAGCGGCACAGCCAGAGCCGCCGACACACAGCTTAATGAACATGCCAAAGCAGGGGCAACAGAGCGCAGGGCTGCAGGATAACACGGGATCATACTGGTGGATAAAAGCTGGGAGTAATAATAAGAAATGTAGACATGTTTGGTACATCGCTCTAGTATTATAAGCCGCTTCTAAATGAAATATGAGGCAAGGAGAGTGCAACTACACCCGACATTGCAATCTGTCACACCTACACTGTATGTATAACTGTACACGCACTTTAAGTTGGCCTAATCAGATCCATACAATTTGATCATCTTTGGATTTATAATAATTTCTCTAACTAAACAACTGCTACAGCTTGCCACAGTTCAATTACAGTAAACCTGTAATGCAGGGCCAGTTTTTTTCTGTCAAATACTGCGAGCCGAAGTTCACTTAATTCTAAACGGCAGAAGGGTCATATCTGCATACTGTATTTGCAAAAGGATGTCCTTGAATAAGCAAGTCAATGCACCGCAAAGTAAAGCTAAAATAGTTTGAACAACTATACAGATTGAACATTTATTAAATATGAAAGACCTCAACCATAACAGGTTTTTTAAATATGTTGGCACGAAACTCATTCAGATGAGGATGAACTTGCTAAGCAATGACTGATTCACTGCTCTTTAGTAATGGCAACTTCAACTTTTTAAAGCCCCCCGTGAAGGACTTGGAATCTCTCTTTAAGGATACTGTATTCCCTCCCCTCCAATACTCTTTAAACCAGCAGTCAGTGCCAGTACACCGCACAGCAGCTTTCTGGGAGGGAGATCACGAGGCAACCAATTAGTGATGCTAGACTAGAGGGCGAGGCCACTCTAAAACAAACAGGTGGGAGGATGAGACAGGAAAGACTAACCATCTGACCAAGGGGGTATATTTTAAATGGACTGCATTTATGATCAATAACCTGCAGGACTAACAGGCAATTATTATCATTCTTTTCAGAATAGCCTCACACTATGTGTGAACCGCTGCACACGTTCTTAAAATATTAAAAGGTAACTCGAGTTACTACCTTCAAATCTCTAACTGGCAAACGTCTCCTTGAAGCGCTGAATCTTTGAACGGAGCTCTAGAAATGCTATTGCCAAAAGTCAATATTAAATAATGCGAAGGCTGTTAATCAATGTCCGCCTGACTATTACCAGTTAAAAGTTTTCAGCTGAAATTTGTGGATACCCATAGTCTTCCAAGCATTTGTTTTCCCACAGCAGGGCAAAAATCACCCTGCACGACTCTAAAGTAACAGTTTAACAGCAATGCAAATAACATGACAAATTTCAGTACGCCAACAGAATAAAATCAAAACCGGAGAGCAGCTGAGTTCACCACTGTTGCTCAATGGAAAAGAGAAGACAGCCCTCGATGTACCCAGCAACAGCCACACTAGAGCTGTGAGAAGTGTGTTAGCCAAATCAGCTCCTCGTACTGCAAGAAATGTTTCTAAAGTTCACTGCATAGCAGATATACAATAGAAATAAAAGGAATGTTCAATTGTTTATAAAGCATTTAAACCCAAATTATGACTCAAAAGTACCAAGATTTTTTAATTATACAGCATTATATAAAACAGCTTTCAAAGAACACTGTAAAGTAAAAACAATCTTGTCACTTTGAATCTAACGTCCAACATATCTGCATATGCAGCCAGGTCTTTGACTGAGACCTTCTATTGTAAACTTGGTCCCTGCTGCATCTCGCAGAAAAACCTCTTGAACTATCAACTAATACAAACTCCATGCAAACACATGCAAAACAAACCTCAATTTTGTCTGTCTTGGCATCCCCCCAGTAGATTTTCTTCTCAGCATAGTCCAGTGCCAACCCATTGGGCCAGCCGAGTGATGTGTTGACCATCACCACCCTGTCGGTTCCATCCAGAGCAGCACGTTCAATCTTGGGAATTTCTCCCCAGTCTGTCCAGTACATATACCTGCGTTGAGAAGGAAAGGGTGTAAGGAACAAAAGCAGAACACAGGCATCCCTCAATTTGTACATTAATTCCATGAATACAGATGCATACAAAAACATTATGCCAAATACATAAATCAAAAATGAATTCCTATAAGATTATGGTTTATTTAAATCCCTGATTCCTGAATCCCCCCAAAAAAATCCCAACAGTTTTCAAACACTTGAAAAAAAGCATTACCATTTAAGCAGAACACTGATGTATAGTTACTCCATCTAAAGCAGAATGCTCATCAACGAAGGAATCATGATGGGCATGGCAAAAACAGGTTCATATTAAACAGGTATAAATGTGTGAATATGGCAGATGATGCACTGAACTATATTCCTCCGACCTAAAGCAGGGTACTCAAAGGAATGTTGCTTCCTGTAGAAAAAACTTTAGTTTTTCAAAACATTCAAATACATTTGCACACTTTGTAGCAAAAAAAGTGGTTGTCTGTATATAGAGGGATCCTTATATGCATCAATATGGATATATATAATTTAGAAAACAGCATCATTCACTCAAAAGGACTTTTTTTAAAAAAAATGACTGAACTTTAATTTAGAACAGGTGGACATGCATCTGTAAAAATGAGTACTATTAAATACATTTGACCGCATCGCTCTTAAAACTAGGTCTTTTAATGTTCTTCAATCCTATGGTGGGTGAAAGCACCCCGAAGAGCAACAGATACCTTCCAGAAACGTCCCAAGGGCGAGAGTTGTTAAAAGCACTCGAACACACCCACGAACAGCCCAGTTGTGTGCCACCACTTGGAAAATCCTCATCAGCTACTGACTCGAACCCGAGATCACACAGTTCAGCCTGTACTTGGCTCAGCTGGTGAAGGTTCTCTACCAAATGAGATCTCGCCACAAAAATATCTAAACTCACATATTGGGTAACTTTCAAGTACAGTCAAAATTAAAACTAACCAAGAACTTACACTACAGCACCAACAAGGAAGAAGGTACTCACCCAGACATAGGATCTAGGACAATAGCTCGAGGCTCATCGAGGTCTTCTGAAATGAGTATTTTCCGCATGGTACCGTTGAGCCGTGTCACCTCGATGCGGTCCGTGCCCGTGTCGGTCCAGTACAGGTTCCTGGCAATCCAGTCGACAGCAATGCCGTCAGGGTGATTGACCTGCGACGTCACGAGAAACTGGCTCCCGGTGCCGTCCAGATAGGACCTGCGGATGGCGTGCACCTCATCGTCCGTCCAGTAGATGTGACCTTCCACGGGATCGTAGTCAATTGCGATGGCGTGCCGGATGTCGTCCAGGTTCAGAATGATGTCGGTGAAGTCCGGCGTGTCCAGGGAGATCCGCCGCAGGTCTGTGCGGCGAGCAAGCAGCAGCAGTTCCGAGGCACCTGGACGGGAGGAAGAACATAACTACACGTTCTGAAGGTGCTAATTTATCAAACCACTGGAATGGACTTGCATGGGGAAAAAAAACTCTCAAACAAGTTATCCAGCTGCGGAAAAGATCATGTTCTCTCTTATTTGCACACCCTAAAGTCTCTGAAACACATTGTGATGAAAATCATTGATGTAATGAGGGCAGAGGGTTACTTGGCAATTGTATACAAATGACAAAATGGAGTCAGGATAATCTGGCCACATGACAGTGAAAATCACCACAAAAACATGCGGGAGCTGCACTCTCTCCCCCTTCTGCAGGAACAGAAATCACTGCGGCACTCCTGTCAGATTCCAGCATCTCCACTTTCACACTACCATTTCAGCAGGTGACCCTGACTTTGTACTGAGCACTACAGGAAAGCAACTCCCATATCAGTTTTTAAATAGTATACAAAAATGCTGAATCTAAAACCTCTCTCCCTTCTTGCTATTTGACACATTAGTTCAACGAAAGCATTCAAGATGTCGCATGTTAAGGGGGGAAGCAAACAAATGCACTTGTGCCTCTCATTCCTGCACAGAGACATTTTCCCCCTCATAAAATTTGCTGAAATGAGTTCTGAAAAGAACAGTCGGGCCCACTTTGAACAATCATGCATGACCAACAGGCTGCTTTCTATTCAGAAACTGAAAAGTCCTCTTAAGGCCCCATCAAGTCTTACTGCCCTGCTGGACAACAAAAGATGCTTTTGCTAGTGGTACGAGACCCTAAAAGCATTTATACACTTGCTTTCTTTTCTACTGAGCTTGGTGATCGATATTTTCTAATGATTTCTTTTTAATGAGCCTTCAGCTCACAAACATAGATCATTTAAAGATATTTAAAAAATACTGTTATTTTTAAGGCCAATTTAGAATGGACAAATATGAAAACACGCAATCATATTTATGAGTGTATGCTTTTGGCACATCTATAACATGAGCATCTTAGCAGCTGATTACTTTTAGGAGTCATTACTCTCCTGGCCAATATCATGCAAGCCAGACCCCTTTGTCCCAACAGTCTCCACTGACTACATTTAGCCAGACTCAAAGGGGTTAAAATGTTAGAGCATATATAAAGGGGCTAACAAATTAGAGTCCTTCTTCCAATGTTTCAAATTACACTACCAAGCTTTGTTTTCCAAGAAGGCATGTTCTACGAGGGTCCTTAACACAGACACAAGTATGGGCCAAAGCCAGACAATGAAGAAACGTCAGTTCTCATCAGTGACATGGGCTGGACTAAGGCAGCTTATATCATGCCTGACCAAACATGCAGTCTCACTTAATTTACACAGAAAAACACTGAAATGGTTAAAAAACCGCCATGAAAGGGGCATTGTCTGGTGGGAACATGTGGCTGCAGAACAAAAGCCTTCCTCTCCTTGCTCTAGGCTTGGGAATTGAAACAAAAAAAAAAAGAAGAGAAAATGGCTTGGCTGTAAATCAGAACTATTCAAAAAGTAAAGGTTTCCAAGGCAACTGCTGTTCCATTCGGGTCAGCCCACATCACCTTTGGCTACAAGGATCATTAATCAGAGATAACTCAAGGAAAGCACAGCTATGACATCCACATTTTTGTTCCCCACTCCTGCCACCCCACCCCAGAACCAACATGATACAACCACACTCACAAAGCCAAATAACCATCAGGTCTGACAGCACTACCTGGAATGCATTACTGTTAGAAAAAAAGATAAACAGTGTAACCCCAACCTGTTTATCATGACCACTTCTGTGAAACTATCCTCTTCAACAAATCCCTGCGTTATACGTGAAGGAGGCCGTTAATACACTATGTCCTTTCCAATAAATAAGACATCAGTGCAAAAATACACAAAATACAGTTGCCTCTGGGCTAAATTCTAGACATATTTACATACAAAAACCAGGATGTTAACAGAGACTGAACACCATAGTATTTAACTGACCAAATTTGTGATGTACTTCACAATAACGGCAAATTAACTTTTGCTTTCAGTTGTATAAACAGGATACCAATTAAAATATTGCTATGGAAGAGCTACTGGTAAAGTGGGAGAAGGGCTTCAATTCCTCTGCAAATATGATGTTCCCAATTTATCCAATTTTCCATGTCGAAACACCGATCCATTTCACTTGCTGACTGTTTACAACACCAACATTGATGGGATTGTTGGCTGCCCTACCAACAATCTGACGACCAATCAGCTCAACTGAAGAAATAGTCCAGAAGGAATCCAACTGCCGAAAAGTGTCAGTTTTGTTTTTCAACTTGCAGAATGGCTATAACATTCCAGCTCCACTGTAGCATGAAATACTTACCCTTTTGGCTAGAAAGGAAACAAAATCCAGAAAAACTGGATACTACTGCACATTTCTACATCATACCATTATTTCTCTACCTGAAAGAAAAGATTAAAACACTACATGGATGGGCTGCAGCTGAAAAGGGGAGGCATTTACACACCTGCATTGTGGTTCCTTTGTTTTTCCAACTCTAGTGAGATGTGTGAGAGATGTGTTTTTGGAAATTTTAGCTCAGATCTGTTATGGTTTACTTCTAAAAACTTTGTTGGTCCAGGTTCCTGGTGGGTTTTGTTTCTTTATTAAAAGATTTTGCATAGCATTTTATATTTTCAGGAGTGAGTCCATAATTTTTAGTGCATTTTAAAACTATGGAAATCTTATTACAGGACAACCTATGAGGTCCACATTTCTTGACAGGGCCCCGGGCCCCATGTTCACTAGTTGCTGTAATCGGAAATTGCCAAGTAAGCTTGTAGCTACTAAAATATCAATGGTAACTGATATTTGTGGTTGAAGTTTGGCTTCTCAGTCACAAATGTTAGCCTATTTTTTCTCCAGGGAATCAAAAAGGGTTCTGATGTCCTAAATCACAACAGAAACACGAATCGTCTGTTCATCCAGTCTGACCACTCACACCAAAAGGGAGATAGCAGCCATATTAAAATCAATATTCATCTTGGAAAATGTGTATTGCACATGTCCATTTTTTACTTCAAGGGAATCTCTAAAACCCAGCACCGCCTTGAAATGTCCCAGGGATTATGCCCAACACACAGTGGTGCCCATATCCAAAACTGCAGAACATGAGATGGTTACTTAAGGATAGATCTCACACATACATTGTATTCTGACTACGTGCAGTACAAATAAAACCGTCTTGGTTTGAAATCAGCCGTATGTAAGATTAATATTTAACCATTTTATTTAGCGACTTATTTTTTTACTTAAAATACATTCAACAAAAACAGCCTTTTATACTTATGGAACAAGTAATTTTATTCCATGCTGAAAAGAGAAGAAAGAAAACAACGTTTCAGCCGTGGAGCCTTCTTCAGGTGTGAGAGAGACAGGGCAGTAAGCAAAGGTAATGTAGCAGGAGAACAAAAGCAGGGAGAGAGGAGAAGCGAGGGGCGGGAGCAGGGGACAGAAAGAGAGGATCGCTGTGAAGAGCCGGAATGCTGGTTTAGTTAGGCCCTCCCTGGGCCACTTGCCCCCTCCGCTCACTAAACCAGCATTCCGGCTCTTCACAGCGATCCTCTCTTTCTGTCCCCTGCTCCCGCCCCTCGCTTCTCCTCTCTCCCTGCTTTTGTTCTCCTGCTACATTACCTTTGCTTACTGCCCTGTCTCTCTCACACCTGAAGAAGGCTCCACGGCTAAAACGTTGCGTTTTCTTTCTTCTCTTTTCAGCATGGAATAAACCTATTACTTGTTCCTTTGCAGCCTTCCCATGCTGACACAGCTACCCACCTGAACTTTTACATTTATTGCATATCTTGAAGTACGTGAAACGTCCAAATCAATAATACCATTAGATACATTTTGAAATGCTCATTTCAACATTTTCATATCTTGCAACATCATTAATGATGCAAGTATATGCAGACTTGAGAACTGTCCATCGAGTCATGCACAATAGCCAAGGGCATGGAGTGGGTACATGGCTGTCCATTATAATTTACATATCACATTAGTATGAATTAGTGTAAATGGTGGTCCATAGGCAATGCTGTACAATTCCAAACAATATAACCGTTTGATGGCATTTCTTCTGCATTTCATTATTCTTTTAGGATCGAAACGTGTAGATTTTAGCTTGTGATGGGCCTGAAAATGTCACCTGAAGTCGCTGGCACTGGCATTTGGCACGTGCTTTGTCGGAACGCAGCACGCACACGCAAAAAAGATGTGGTGGCGCAAGTAAAACACTCAACAACACACATTAAGGGAGGGACACTGGCTGACATTTGACGAATAAAAAAAAACTGTTGTAATGCCCCTCTTCTGCTTCATTTCCCACCAAACCAGAATTCAGTTCACAGCACTTTTTTCAACTCATCTCAGCCTCCCTCGTTTGCACCTCTGTAAATTCGGGAACATCCCATATGCCCTTTCCATCACGCTATCTGAAACAACCTAAATATATTCACACGAAGAGTTAAACATCTTGCCAGTCTCCAGTAAGATACAGCAGGAAAAGGTGCTGCTCTTTTGCCACTATTTCCAGAATCACGCGAGACATGGAAAAACTCAAGGGAAAGAAACGGAGGTGGATACCAAGGTGCAAAATACTTGAGGCGATGACCTACCGTCTTTGCAGGTTTTGCCATCCCCCAGAAGCTGCACCCCAGTTGGACAGGCACACTGATGGAAGGGCTTCACAGGAGACATCAGACACAAGTGGGAACAGCCACCATTGTTCTCTCCACAGGGATTATTTGCTACTTGGAACAGAGGACAGAGGGCTGGCATGTGATACCTTTCTTAAGCATTACATTTACATTGGTGATTCGCGTAGAGGTAATATACAGTGCTCCGCCATTAACCAAAATGAGAGACAGAAGTCATTTAACAAAAACAGAAAGCCTAACATCTTCACTCAAAAGTCAAAACCAAAATGAAAATGGGCAACTGAGTAGGTATTTCTCATTTTATTCACACCATCAATGCATTCTCAGTCAAATAATTTCCCTACTTGCTTCTTACAATATGGGCTTACATAACTTTGATGAGGACAATAAAATTCTGCAAAATAGTATGGAAGTAGTGCTACTTAAAAGCACAAGCATGTTAAGGAATTTAGTTATGGTTCTACTACATTTGAGGTTCTGACTGTCTAGTTAAGGCACGCTGCATGTTTATTTTGTACCTGTCCACAGATCTGTGTACAAGCGTGAAAGATCTTTGAAACCTTCAGCTGCAGAAGAACTAGAAAAGGACTCTTAAGTTACTCTGCACGCTCAAAATACAGGAATACTACAGATGTGTTATGGTTCTCTTTATACATCAGGATATACATATTCAATATTCTACATATTTTCTATGTAATACTTTAACATGGGTGAGACCTTATAAAAAAGGAGGATTCCGATTCCCTGTGCAATGGGATCAGTTTGCCAAGACAAGCTGGGGGGAGTCACACCAGTAAGAACAGCTTATCTACCATATCACTCAACCTCTACTGATCTGCTCACTGCAAAAAGTAGAAACTCTGGCTTTTCAATCATGTCTAAAGGCTGACATACAGTGGCATTTTGACAAGGTTCAATCTCTGACACCAGACTGTGTAAAGAGTTAATGATCTGTTCTTTCATAAGAACACATTTCATTCCTAACCATTAGACTGTGACAAGTTCTGTGATTTATCATATCGAAGGATGAAGCCTTGGTCAAAGCCGAACACCAAACAAACCAGCTTTATATGACTGCTCTGATACCTCATTTAGAAATCTTCAAATTTAACATTTGTTTGGAAAGAAGTTAAGAAGGAACTATGAAAAAATATTTTAACAGGCTATCCAAAAAAATGTATTAATTGTTGGATAAAGCTCATGGAAAAAATATCCTCAATGGCTCAGTATTTTACTTGATCTGGAGTTCTGCATAGGAAGATCAACCTCAACCCCACAATATCCTGGTTTCTTTATTCTATAGTTAAGATTAATATAAACAGTGCCAGACAAACCATTCCACTGCAGCTATGCAGCCCGGGGGGAATAAAATAAAATGTAAACTGCAGAATTAACACTTGTGTAAGTGCCTTATCCCACTTGCCAGGTTTCTCAAAAGTATTAGAAATTCTCTGCATTCTGGGCAGGGAAAGAACAAAAGAGCTATTGTTCTCTGTGCCAGAATGCAAAAAGTGATTATGTGCCATAATCATTTCTAAAGGATAGCATTAGGAGACAAGCCTTAGTAACACAGTTGCTTTTTATAAAGGCAACAAGATTTAATACCATAAGTACAAGTCACTCAAAGTCAGTTAGCTAAAAAAATATACATGTACACCCCTTGGAGCAATTCAACCTGATGTAACTCTTAATAATGACCTCATGAAAAAACTGATTTTTCCCACAAGCATATCATTTCAGATCTGGCAAAAAAAAAAACAGGCATTATTTGATCATATACAGTCCTCAAGCTATAAACGACCAAGTCCTTACAGGCTGGCTGTCTCTTCTGGTTGAAGACATGGATGTCCATGGGGGAGAAGATGTTGGTGTGGACCTCTCTCCGGTTGCTTCCAGAGGTCTTGTTACAGGAGTGGATGGAGTGGGTGTTCCAGTCAGTCCAGTACAACGTGTCTTCAAAGAGTGTCAGGGCAAAGGGATGGGGGAGAGAACCTTCCACGACCACTTCCCTATAGAAAAACAGCACAAGCCACTCATCCCAGTTCCCAGTGATAACTGGGGAATTTTACAATGTTCCCACAATTTTAGAATACACAGCATGTTTTAGTTGGTAAAGCAGACAAACCCTAATTGGAATAGAATTTTAGCATCAAAGAACATCTGTTATAAACAGCTACAGCACAGATAAACACACGCAGACCTAAGAATCCCTTGGCAATAAGATAATGGCAGCGGTTTTACAAACTTTTTTAAAAGAAGTAGTCCAGTAAGCAATACCTTGATGTGCCGTCGAGGTTGGATCGGTGGATGAAGTTGTATTTGGCGTCTGCCCAGTACAGTTTCTTCTCAATGTAGTCCAGAGTTAGTCCATTTGGCCAGTAAATATTGCGATCTATGATTATCGATCTGTTTGTACCATCCATCCCAGCACGTTCAATTTTAGGAACTTCTCCCCAGTCTGTCCAATACATATACCTTCAAGAACAAAACAAGGCAATATTAGAAAAGATTAAATCTGCAGGGCAGTTTCACTTCTGAAAATGTAATCGTTAATTTAACATATTCATGGATTGAAGTGTTGGGTGGATGCAACTGGTGTTCAGGATGTCCTAAAAGGCATGTGGTAACAAGAGTTTAAGTTCATACTGTACTGCACCAGCACATCTTAATTTAATTGACAAAAATGTAAGTTATACAACCTGTGGTAAAAAAAGCTCAATGCATTTTCAAAGATAAAATGATGCATGCTTTATAAATAGCTCAAAAGTTGTGTGTCAATTAGTCAGTTTGAATAAAAGCAAAAGTAATTTTTACCCCAAGTTTCCATTTAGTTAATTTAATAATATTTACGCACACACATTGCCCTAACATGAATCAATTTCCTCACTGAGAGCCATAAGAGTAAATGTGATAAAGAGCTAACATTTATTATTGAGGAACTATGCTTACATCAAATTTCAATGTTTTTCCCCTGACTAAGTGGACCAGGAAAGTTTCTCAATAATGACTAGTCTTTTTGAGACAATATTCATATTTACACTTGAGTGCCTCTTCCACTAACACAAACTGCCCATCCTACTGAACACAGTGGACAAAGCAAAGGGGTAAAATGTTTATTTTGCAGCACTTCACGCAACTACAGACTGATAAGGTTCATATGGATGTGCTGGAGTATGCGTTTCCTTCGACAAACCAGGGGTATTCAAAGATGCTAAAGTCTAGGCAGGGAACATCCGAAGAAGACAGGTAAATAGAAAGGAGCCACTGGTGCAAGAGAGCTCACAAGTACTGCATTGTTAAAAAAATATATGTTTAGATACAGCAAGCCCAAGCAGTTCAGTAGAGAAAAGATTGAGACCTTACGGGGGGGGTCAACCAGCTACAAACAGAAAAATCACTGCATAAACAATGAAAGCATGGCACTTCTGGGCCCTCTTGAAAAATAACTCAAGGCAAAATCAAATTAACAAGCAATCCTATTTCATACTTCAAAAGAATATTACCAAAACCTATTTATATGAAGCACCTTTCCAAACCAGAGGACGCTGTACATAGTGATGAAGTACAAAAAAATCTAGCAAGAACATACAGAATAAACTATAAGGCAATTAGACATACGTCCTGGCAAAAAAGGGAGTTTTAAGTTTACACGTGAAAAGAGTTAGTCTTTAACAGAGTCAGAGGGAGGGCTTCCCAAAACAAAGCAGCAGCGAATGGAAGATTTAGTCTTGGGTACAGTGAGCAAAGAACCAGCCTACAGAAGAGTGTAAAAATGTAGGAGCTCAGCAATGTACTGTATGAGAATATCTGGAGCCTCAAAAGTCAGTAACAGGATCTAATATTGCATCCATGACCTTACAGGCAACCAATGTACAGATCTAAGCGTAGGAGTGATTCCAAACTACGGGCGACACTGGAATAAAGAAGCCATCCTCAATTACTTTGAGGTTCTTCAGCTTTTCCAAATGACAATTGCTGGCCACCAGAAAAATTTGTTTTGTCACTATTTTGCTTCAAGGAATTTGCCAATAGAAAAGAGCACAATCAGATTTCCTTGTCCAGACCTGGCAGAAGCCAGATTATTATAAACATAAGTGTGAACCACTGAGCTATTATTTTTACTTAAGTGCCCTACAGACTATCCAGTTAGTTTCAAATAGAGCTGGGCAATAATTCAATAACGATAATTATCGTGATATAATTTTCCTCTATATAATTTTAACAAAAGTTCGATAAATGTTAACTATATACGTTTATGCTTTGCGCGAGTGCGTGTTGCAGACCGGGCAGCTAACAGATTTGTTTAATGTTTCTGCTGTTTGGCAAGTAATTGTTGTGTTCTTAAAATAAAAAGTTGTTAAATTTACCAATTAACTGAAAAAATCTGCCTTTAAACTTGAAAGAAATAATGATTTGACATTTATCGTGATAATTATCGATATCTACCGATATTAAATTTATCGTGATAATGTTTTTGGCCATATCACCCAGCCCTAGTTTCAAAGATTGCAGTTCATGTACACCATAAATTCTATGTATACCAGAGAGAGGAGTGCTTAAAGGAAACTGAGCGAGTCTTAAAGGGGCTGATTTTATCCAAAGTAATAGTAAATGCAGTGGTAAAATTACTGACAAGGTCATCTGTTGGAACAAGAGGAGTAATATGGACAGCAATTTGGAAACCAGAGCAGTTCACAGATTTCAGCTTCCTAAAACACATTTTGTGAAAGCCTTTGAAGCATTACACATGAAACTGAAAAGCAAACAAAACAAACATCGTTAACAAAACATTTGGATCACCATACATCATTTCAAAGAGATTTTTATTTCTATAGACTCGCAATATTTGTCATCTTATACTTTGAAACCTAAAATTACTTCTGAAGGCATTGTATGCAAACATACAAATAAGTGCAAATGAGGGGCATCAATCCTGCTGGAGATACCAAAAACAGTGAATGAATCCATGTCAATTATCAGTGAATTACTGATGTGTTTACCTCCTTCATTGTCATTTCTGTATTGAATAGGTCTCCTCGTTTAGTCAGAGAAGTTAAAACTTGAAGAAACTTAAGGTTTAAAAAACCACATTTATCAACACAAACGTGAAAGCATCCTCAGACCTAAGAGCTGGTTTACCTGAAACATCAAGAGGTTTACATTCAGAAGCCATTTCAAAGTTCAATTTATTGACAAAAAAAAAACTTCCTGTCACTCATGACAAAAGAAAAGCCCTCTATCACTCAAACATTTAAGAAGCATATTTAAGTGCAATTAAGATTTACAGGGTGAACGAATTTCACCAGATTTAATTCAACCAAATTTCAAATCTTAAAAAGTCACATCCAGCAAGAGACTAGATTAAAAACACTAAGCTAAGCTAAAACACTAACACTTTAGCTCAGCAATATTGCAAATTGGCATCTTTCAGAATGCATAAAAAAAAACAAAGCCATACTATTTCTAAAGATACTGGTTTCCCAGAATATGAATTGTAATTCCTTGCCAAATTGCGTTTTATCCCCCTCTCCTATATTTCAAATAAAAGTGTTCTAACAAGTCTGCACCTCATTTAAATAAAATAGCATTTAATAGTTTCAGGAATTTTACATGCTTAAAACCAAAGAACTATCATTTAAAACAAAGCAATACACATTTGTTACGGGATTCTGGAAACCAAACCACATGAAAAACAGCTAAAATATTAAAAAGAATCTTCTAATCATCTTTCATTGTTTATGATAAAAAAACAAATTTAAGACCTACAACAGAAAATTGGCTGAAATATTTAATCTGGGAATTTACGTTCTTAAGTCTATCAGTGCCTTGAGCAAAATACTACTGTAGGACAACTGAAGTTGATTAACAGCTACAGAAGACAGGGGAATTTATTGAAAGTGTCACACAGTGCTGCTTGAACATATGTGAACCCTTCTTCCATTCATCTTCGATAAATCTTGAAAACTTATCTGAACTCCAATATTTAAGATAACCCGAATAACAGACAGACGTACAAAAAATGTTTATTTGTTTATTAAATGAAACGTGTTTAACAGAATCTCAATGGTTACTGTGTGCAAAAGTAAGTGAACCTCTGAATTCAGCAGTGGCACATCGTTTGTACGACAGCAACAAAACATTTCCTATAGATATATATAACTTCTGCACATTTTGAACTTTAATATTAATGTTTCTGGTGCCTACTTGAATACTTCAATACCACAGACTGGCAATATTGCCAGTCTCTGGAATGGAAACATTGACATGGAAGAAGCTGAAAATGTCAACTGGACTCATCACCAGTATCCTGGACTTGTCCGCATGTAACATTAATTTACCAGCTATTGCTATCTGAAATAGGGATGTGAATGTTACAAATTAACTTCTCACAAACTCACTTCCGAATATCCTGATGAATGATCCACTTCTTTTTCCACAGATCTTACTTGATCCCTAAATAGATGCCATCACATGAAACTTGTCCCTGTAGTCCCTTCTATGTATTTTGTGCAGGAGTGCACCTTTTAATACACTGTAGGAGTGTCCAGATTCATTATTCTAACCAAGGAGTAGGATCTTGCACAGCACTCCTGCTACAGTAACTTCAAACCATGCTTCACACAGCAACTGAAACAGATCCTGATGGCTGAGAAACATGAATAAGACCTCCTCATGAACTAGAAGATGTATTGAGTCTCCACATTCTCTCCCCCAGCACCACTGGAGCCTATCCTGTCTTGACAGTATTCATCCGGAGCTCCCAATCACTAAGAACCATTATGGCAGTGTTGCTAGACAGAAACCTAGACAGAAGCTGATCACTGATGGCGACGGGGGGCTGAATGTTCAGCTCCACTGTGGGAAGACAATTTACAATAGCTTACAAAAGTCCAAAAGTATTCATCCCCTTGGACTTTACATTTTACTGTTACAATATGGAATCATAATGTATTTAACTTAGTTTTTGCTATTGAAGGAAAACTACCGCTGAAGTCAAAAGACACATTTCTAAACTAAATTAGAAATATACAACAGAAAATAAGTGATCGCATATGTATTCATTGTGTGCGAGTCAATATTTGGTAGAGGCAAGTTTGACAGAAATAACAGCCATCAGTCTTCTTGGATAAGTTTCTACCAGTTTTTCTACATTTGGACACTGCAATTTCTACCCATTCCTGTCAAGTCAAATGTCTTCACATTTGAAAGTTTTTACATAAAAATGGGCTGACTCTTGGTTCAAAATGTTAATTCCCAATGTAACTAAACCAATCAACACATCACAACCACATCATCTTAGAAACAATTTACAGTATCTCAGAGTATTGTGATAAAATATACCGCCGGTTTAAAAATGCAACAAAGGCATTCGAACCAATTGCATCTGTTAGCTTTGTAATATTTAACAATATGCAAAAGGAGAACACGTAAGTAACAGGACAACATTCGGTTAAAAATGTCTCTGAGCTCTGCCA